AGTTTACATCTGTTCCATTAACTTGTGTGAATTTAAAAATGCATTGCTTTGTAACATGAGAAAAATCTTCTTCTCTAACAGAAAGTAACTATATCCTCAGGGAAATTTGGTAAATAAAGGTTAAGCAGCACAAAAGTCTTGAAATTATCATTAGTAATTGCTTTTTTTCTTTTCTTGAATTAATCAGATGGGCTGTTGCCTGTCTGTTGAATTAACCAGATGGATTGTTGCTATCTTTTTTCTTGATTTTCAATTTATTTTCTATTGAAAGAAAGCAGTTTGAGAAGGCTGTGGTTATTTCAGGTTACTATTGACAGAAGTTTAATGTTCTCCTTATGAATCCAAATGGGAAGGCTTGTGCACTTGGAGACCATCAGACCAATTATGATCTGACAACAAGAGCATACAAATTTTCTATTTTGCAGTTTTAAAAAGCACCATAAAATGTGGTGTGCCTGGATTCTATGAGATCATTTCATTCTAGATGAGGAAAGCAACAATTTTGTCTTGAAAACTTAGTAATAATGGACAAATTTCAACAGCAATTTGGGCCTTTAAAACTCTTATTAGGGATCATTAGAACTTAGCATCTGAGTAATGAGGCTTCCCCTCTCCCTGCTTTTTAATAATTACATCTGATTTAACATCTAAAAACTCTTCTGACATCTGAATAGTTCTGTTTTACCTCATATTCATAAAAATTTGTATGATAGGTAACCAACAGCCAAAACAATTATGATTGAGTTCTGTACTTAGAAATCACATAAAACTTAGAAATGGTGGAGTTATGCAATCAACCTCATTTCTCAAAGAAGACAAAGTCATGTGTCTTTAAAATCAAGGCCAAATATTTTAAAGGAAACAAACTAAATTTTCATGTGCTGCTTCTTAGAAAATCCTAAAACCTTTTGGATTCTTATGAAATCAAACCAATTTGCATTCTCAACCACAAGAGGGCATCCATGCTTGCAACCTGATCCTTGAAGATCATATATAAACAGATGTATCTACCTATCTATCTATAGGCATAGATATGGATATAAATACAGATATATTTCTTTCTGTTAGGTCCCAGATGTGGTATAGAACACATTTGCTCTGGGAGGCTTCCTCCTTCAGAGTCTCGTGGCATCTCCTAGTGTTGGTAAGGGATAGCACACGAAGTCTAATTTTGCTGTTCATAAAGCTCTCATGGAATCCAACTTCCTCACTCCTGCAAATGTTATGTTAAAACTCCCATGGTTTTCGCTAAGGCCTGATCCAACTCATCTCGAATTCAGAGGGGAACAAACTTATCTCAGAGACGATGAACACACAGCATCCCAAGGATAAGTGTGCAAGGTCAAGTCTAGATTTTCTGAAGTCATTTATTTCTCCAGAGAGAGTATTTGGGATCACTAAAACCTGCTCAGCATCAATCTGAAGTCATGACTGTCAGGGGCCTTGCTCTCCCCATAATTTGTTCCACACGCACTTCACTGGTGTGATGAGGGGAGGGTGCTGTTTGTTTTGGTTTTGAACAGGAATAAATTTTCCACTCTGATGCATATAAAACTCTCATTAGAGCCTGAAACAACCACAAAAAGGAACTATGAAAGCAAGTCTTGCCTAGTGGTAGTAAATTATATGCTTAGCTGAAAAAGATCTCACAAACACTAGAGTGTATATGGTAATATTGGAAGTAAACCTATTCTTCCACAAAAATAATGTATAACTTCAGCACCAGAATATATAGGTTAGCACCAAAAGGTATCAATTGCTACCCATCATCTTAGATATTTAAATGAGGCAAAAAATCACAAGCAGATATTATAAAGGGCTGCACCCAATAATTAATGATATCAATTACTTAATTTTTACTCTTGTGACTCTCACAGTATTTTGGGCCAAAAATATTTTTAGCCTTATTTTAGTGTGTGTATACTTTCATAATTGTATATTTAGAACAGAACAAAAGTCTGAGCTAATTTCCCTGTCTTTAAAGGCACACGACTCTGCTCAGAAGGCATTACTACAAATCTTCAAGGCTAGCAGAAGAGCAGCTGGGGGTAGTTTGCCTCAGCATAACCTTGAAGTCATCAAGAATTTTCATCAGCATACTTCCAAAGACAGCTGAAGTCTTCTGCACGTTTCCTTACTTTTGTTCTAGCAGCACTTGGTGCCAGGTAATCAATCAGGCAGCACTGACACCGGCAACCAAAATAGCGCTTTACTGGCATTGTTACTACCCTACCCAAGAGAAAAAAGATGACAGAAATCGGGGTGATTCAAATAGGTAATAAAGAAAGGCCTTCAGTAAACTTATTAAATAAAGTGGAAGGACAAATTTTGTGTGGTAACCAAATATCTGATGAGCTGTAGTCCTCTCTGTTCAATGAAAAATACTCAGCTAATGCTTGAGTGCTTGTGGCTGGTTTTATCAGGAGCTGCTCATATGAAATAGCTTATACCAAGATAAATTTTTGCTGCTGTCAATTACAGTGTGATTACAATAGTTAATCCCTAGCACCATTATGGGATGTTGTGAAAAAAACCTGCATACCTGTTTGTTAAAAGCAACGTTTTCTATATCCACAGAAAACAAAATATTCCACAAAATCAAGGTATTTGTAGCAACTTAAAAAGTAACAGATATGATAACATATATACCCGTTATAATAATTTCAGCTGAATTACAGAATTATAAATTAATTTACAATGTCTAGTCCTGTTTGGAAAGTGTACCATACAACATACAAGTTGCAAGTTCCAAAGTGCATAGTCATTTACTGTTAGACCTACTGTTGTAGGCTCCACGGCTTAACCTGAACTTTTGCTAATGCTCTGCTTCCTGTCTTGTATTAAAAAAAAAAAAAATACTGAAAAAGGCTAGATTTACCATTTTAACTGTGCTGTCTTTACCTCTAGAGAAGATTTCTTATGCAGAACAAAAATGTATTTGTCCCATGCATCTTCATCAAAAACTGGGCTGGCTGAGGGCTAGTGACCCACCTAGTAGTTTTGCCTCACTGAATTCTTTCAGTGTGTACACATATGGTGCAAAGAGGTTGTGTTTCACTCCCAAAACAGGACTGGATTTTACTCAGCCAAAGCGTTTGACTGATTAAGCACTCTCCAAATCCAAGCCCCTTTGAAACTGAAAAGAAAACCATCTATATTGTAACTGTTAGAATAAAAGTTAGTAGAATACTGCGAGTGTTGTTCTTTTAAAACAGGGAAGCATTTTAAGACAATGTACTTGTCTAGTTATTGTCCTGTCAGACACAGAAGTGTCACTAACCAGCAATGTCTGAAGAGCCACAGATCAGTCACTGATGTTCTCTGAGGGATCAGGTTATGGATAGATGGAGAGGAGCTGTTACGTTTCACATGCCGTAGAGCCCATTCCCCACACACAGCTATCTTGCTGGAGAAGAAGAATAACTAATGCGAAGAATTCAAACTCTGATGTTTCTTTTTTATATCACCAATATGATATTATGGTGACAGACTGTCTCTAACGCCCTCGAAAGGACTGAATTAGTGACTTAAAGACACATACATATGCAGCACTAGTGAAATTATCCTCTGTTGTTCTGCTTGCTCTACTCAGCATTGCTTTTCAAAGTTCATAAACTTCAGAGGTCTAAATGTAGCAGTGCAAGCAGACTAAACACGTATATTTAAAGTGGAGTACATTCTGCCCTGTAATATAAAGCCAAAACTCGAGGCTATTTCAATGACATAGTAGTTGTGGCAGACATTCGTTTTCCTCCCTTTTATAATCTGTTTTTCAAGAAAACTACTTGTATAATAGTCTAGCTTAAAGTGTAGGTCCTCTTTATAAATGTTCTAGTAAGCATCCATAAGGCGTTCAGTTTTTGGCAGGAAAGCTATGAATAAACAGACTTGGGTTTTATTAATTCATACGGATATTTTCAGGAAATAGCACAATATATTTTAAAGGACACTGCCAATTGCTTTAGAAATTTGAAATTTTTGTCACAAATCTGTAAGAAGTTTTAAAGTTGCCTGATGTATTTTATTTGGAAATCCTCTTATCTACTTTTACATCTGATTTCTTCTTGAAAGTTTCACCTGGCCGAGTTTCAGTCAGGGGGATAGCACATATACGGGCAAACTTACAGTAGTAAAAGACAGTATGGATGTCATGTATCGATATATGTTGCTTTGTAGCAATATATCACTTTCCTTTCCTGTGCAAGAATAAATATATTGCTGCAAAGCACCATTATACCATTATGACTGTGTTCAGAAACACAGAAAGGTAGAGTTAGGCTGTGTTGTTATCCCAGTATATTTAAAGTGATGTAGCTTTCTATCTAGTTAAGACTTTAGGCATGTGAGTTAACAGCCACTGCATCTTCGCCAGTGTGGTTCCTCAGAATCTCTAATTTTCCTGTCTGCACACAGGGATCGTTGATGATAGCAGCAGCCGTGTGTCCAGCTCTTGGAAAGCCATAAACGAATTGATGTTGTGCATGAGGTAGGTAATATCCTGCAGTTTCTCTTGCACGTATGTTCTCCTCTGCTCAGAGTCCCATTGATATTGCAGGTGAAAGCACCGGTGTAAATGGGAGGAACCATTGGGAGCGTGAGGACAATTTGTTGCTTTCCATGTCACGCTCCCTTCTTAAAGCACAGTATTAAACAACGACCCTTCTCTTTCTGGAGCTATTATTTTTAAAAGGAAGTCATATTCTATCTTTTAATGTGCTTTTAATAGAATCTAATCTTCAGGAAGCTACACTTGCTAAGATGAAAATGTTTGCTCTCCTTTAACAGAATGTTAACCTAAAGGGGTTAATGTGAGTCTTAAATCCCAAAGCGTTAAAACCAAATCATACTATACTTTGAAAGCTAATTATACAAAAGCATACAAAAAGAAAACATCAGAGTATTATTACAATATCTCTCTATATATAATATGTGCAAAATTCAATATACAAGCTTCTTGTTACTCATCCATGTTTTTTTTTAAAAATAATGTAAACCTCAACTTATTTAAACCAGTATAAGTAGTTTGATGTTACTCCTGGGAAACAAAGATTGTCGGTACAGGAACCTCCATAGCTTGGAGGACAAGCTGAACATGGGACTCCTACTTTATATGGTGCTTCTCCAATCCAATTGCCCCTGAAAATATAAAAAGGAAAAAGAATGTTTAGTAATTTCAGAGGAAGAGAAAAAAAATTCTTAATCATACTTGTCCTGAGTGATTGAAGTTAATATCTTCAGTGATATCCTATAAATGCCCTGTTACTGAAAACATACATTAAAATATCTCTGTAGGTTATTGACAAACATTGATCTACCAATTCCCAAAAATCAGCAGGAGAATGACCATGTCACCCCAGGCCAGCGGTCCACTCCATATCCTTTAGTCTCTTTGGTGAAGTCCCAGTCTTCTTGCTTTTACAGACAAGTGATTTTTGACTCTCAGAGCCTGGGACAAAGTATTTTTTACTGGAGGGCTACATTTATGAGAAATTAGCAACATAAGCATTGGTGAAAGGTTTTCCTTGAGCACTTTTTTTTGTCTGGCCGTTATCTTAAAAGCTTGTTTTTGGAAGGTGGAAAAACAAACTGAGCAAAATCTTATTCTTAGGTTGCACCACCCTAGGTCGACATTGTGAAGCTCTGAGGCTGACTTTGTAGTTAGAGAATAGGGAAGATGAAAACTATTCGCACCAGTAATGTATTAAAAAGAACTGTACTTGGGCATTTGTAAGGTTCTCACAGGTGTTAATGGGAGGAGGAGGAAGGCTCCCACCTGGTGAATGGAGCTGTGTAATAGACCCTGGGGGGAGAAAGGTGCAAGTCTGGAGAGTGATCATGTGAAAAAAAGGTAACTCTGAAAGATCTCGGAACATCTGAAAAATGCATCCAGACTTTTAGGTGCTTATATAAACCCCAAGCTTTTAGAGATTCATGTAACACTTGTGATGTAGGCAGAAAGTAAGTTAAAATTAGATTTTTATTTAAATGTTATGTCTCACTAAGCAGAGAACTTTCCTCTACTTTGCATGTGACGTGGTATAGCAGTGAGTAATGCAATTATTTATGAAACATTTTCTCATCCCCCACCTCCCAGCCAATAACATTGGATCAAAAGCCCTGGTCTGGGTTGTGCCTTGGAAGAAAGTAGGAATCTCTCAAATAATTTGCTCATTCCTACTTCTCTTCCAAATGGGTACAGCAGACTGAGTTCTCAGGAAATATATTTAGTTTGATAACAGATATGGAAATCCAGAAAAAGTTTGCTGAAAGCTGATTTCTGCTTCATTTTTAGGCAACGTGTGGCTGATTTGTGTGAGTCCATTCGATAACCAGGTGCAGGGCCTTTCTAAGCTTTGTAATTATCCTCCTTAACTTTTTTTTTTCCCTGATTTGAGAAGCATAGATATTTTTCAGCATTATAGAATGGCATCTGTGAAAATTATTGGAGTTCTATAATCCTAAATCTTTCCAAATTCTAATCTTAATAACTTGCGTCGGGGCTGTAATATTCACCTCCTTTTTCTTCAGAGGACTTTCTGATGTGCTGGTTACTCAGAAGGACACAGCCTTTATTCACTGGCACAGAGACTTCTGCATGCATGCCCAAGGACTCTAAGCCCAATGTCCTTAACTCAACTTAATTAATTCTTAGGAATATAAACCTAAGCCAGGCAAGACCACTCAATATCCTTTTTGTGACTGTCCAAGAAGTAGATGTGAAAATCCCGATTCCACCACCTATGAATCAAAGTTCTACTCAAAATCCCACCTAGAGAAGAAGCTTGTATCTCCAGGCTTTGTTTTGCTGTTTGAGGAACAGTGGGATTTTTAGACTGAGAAAATATAAAATGTCATTAATTCATTGTTAACTGATACACAAACAATGCATCAGTTTTCAATAATGCCTAATGTATATAACCATTCTTTTCCTATATATGACCACGAGAGACATGTTCTAGGAAATTTGTAATTTTCTTTTTTTTTTTTTTTTAATGGAGATACATATCTATATAAAAATTGAGTTTCTCTTATAAACTTTGATTTCACCTCGTCCATGTCGTGGAGCTAAAAGTCAGGTGATACAATTTTTGCTGCACGATTTTTGCTCCCTTACATCCACTTCTCACCACCCTTTTCTAGTAGATATTGAAGAGAAAAGGACAGAGAAATCTCCTTGATTTCCAAAGGTGGATTTTTTCCAAGTCGGTTTTCTTCCTAAATCCTATTTTTTCTAAGTTGCAAAATCTTTAAAAATTCTTTTACTCATGTAACAACTAGAATAATGGCATATTCTTGCATATTCTTTACCACAAATGGACCTGTGCCACTGAGAGTTTATGGAAAACATGCTCAATTAATTATACTTAGATTTCTATACAGAACTATGGCTTTGACTAATATTATACAGTCAGAGAAACCAACCATTTACACTGTCCGTGCTGCTTTTGAAGCACTGGTCCAAACCAGACCTCAAATCAAAGCTCTTCCAGAGCCACACTTTATTTATTCATTCTGCACCCAGATGTAAGCTTGTGATGATGTCTAGGAAACGCTGGGAGAAAATTTATTTCTTCATTTCAACCTAACACAGATCCCTACACAGCTACCTGATATAGGGCCACCTATGGGTGTCTATGACCTATACTTTGAAGGACCCTAACATGGAAGGCACGATGAGATTTGTACACACTGAGCTTAGGTAGATGGACTTTGTAGGAAACCTACGCTATGGATGCCCTTATGCAGCATGGTCATAAGCAAAGGTATCTGTGGGCAGCAACTTGTGTTCCCAGTAAATCAGGGGCCTGATCTACAGTGGGATTGCTTACCTGAGGAAGTCTAGCTCACCATGAGTATATATAACAGAGTGAAGAAATAAGGAATTGAAAGTAAAGTAGAGTCAGCACAAAGGAGAAGACAAAAGAATTCTCATAATAATAATAACAATAACAGAAAACAAGTTTTTGGTTTTGTTCCATACACATCAAGTTACTTCCTTTTCTTCCTAGCATACCAGTCATGCATTTTCTGTATGTTCAGATGTAAAGTTAGAATGAAGGAGCAGCCCACAGAAAAAGCACAAATAAAGGTCAAGCTGCTGAAAAAGGAGTAAGCAGTCCTATGAGAGGACGAAAACATGCATGAAGTATAAAAATAAAAGAAAGCAACTCACTTTGGGGCATAGTTGCATACCAAGTAAACAGCTCGTCGCCAAACAGATCCCCAGACGTTCATATTGTGGCATGTGTGGATTGCGCAGCCTATACGATTGGAAGTGGCCCAAACCATCTGAATAAATATTTATTATTGGTGAAGTCCAAATTGAAAACACATATATATATATATATATATATACATTTATTTGAGAGAGAGCTATAAATACATCACAGAAAAGTCCAGCTTTGGACGGTAGATTTTGAATAGAAGAATGTAATTTATATAACCTGTGTGTAATGGGTGCACATGGGTCCATAACATCGCATAGGGCACCTGGGGTTGCAATCCTGAGGATAAGGGAAAGCATAATCCTTCACCTCATCATACCACGGCTTTACCAGCTGGAGAATAGATCGGTACCTGGGTTTGTTTAAAAGACAGAAAGAAAACCATGTAATTTTAGATTTAGGCATTTTGCAACTTTCTGCTGCTCATCCCTGTGATGTAAGACACCTAAATACACATTTCTCCACACATCACTAGGGGCACAGTTAAGAAATAATACTCTTAAGCCAAAAGAACATAGATGGATATCAATTATTGCTAGAATACTGGATGACACTTGCATCAGTCAAAGTTCTGGATCTCAATGGCTGTTTGAAGGCTGTTGAAATAACTGTTTTGTAGGGTATCTGCCTACCTTCCAGTTCTCACAGACAGGTTCTGTCCCAAGAATCTCAGTAAGTAGGAAGGTCCATGGTCCCAAATGCATGTAGCAGCCCACGCCTCTGCAGATTTGGCAAGAGTTTCATCCCAAACCTGACAAAATAAAATATCCTTAGCAGTAGAACAGAAAAAATAAATAGTGATCACAGTGCAAGGACACAAGCAGCGAGTATCTTAAGTCACAAATATACTATCATAGCACATCGGATCTATAACCTAGGCAGAGAGCTCTTGAATTCAAAAAACTGTGGGGCAGCATGTACAGGATCTAGCAGCATTTGACCTAGCGCTGCACAGAATTCACACCCCCATCATCAGAGGAAGCCAAGTATTCAGATCTCTCCCCTTTTTCTGGAAAAACCCTTCCCTGAACAGGCATTCTCCCACCATTATCCCTTCTGTGTTGATGAGATCCATGTGTGGAGAAGGCCAAAACTTTAGATGGGACTCAGATGGAAGTTAAAGAGAAGTAGAGGCACACAGGGAAGAATAATTCAGCACAGGTATTACATACCCCACAAACCCCCAACACATTTGAAATAGGATCTCAGGAGTATCTACAGCCAGAGAGAGTGTGTGTGGCAGCTTTTCATATTTGAGGCCACAAGGTCAAGAAAAGGGATTCCACAAAGGCAAAGACTATGGATAGTTTCCAGGTGCAATATGAGTTTCATCATTTCATTCTGCATAGGAGCTGACCTTGCTCCCTGCCTGGAATAAAAAGATAACAGCTCAGTAAGAACAGACAATTTGACTTAAGTTCTCCTCTAATGGCAGGAATGTGACAAGTGAACTTAAGCAGTCTCCTTTACATGCTTTTCCTGCTCATTTACATGCTTGATTTGTAACTCCTCTGTTTTCTCCACAGCAAATAGACTTGCCTCAGCAATAACGGAGATATCAGCAATTGAACCTACTCCACCACCAGAGCTCCAGATAAAGAATATGTCACTGTTATATTACAAGTACACACAAATCCTAGTATATCTTAGTGTTTGAGTGATACCCAAGAAGGCACTAGATCCTGGAATTAGATATGCATTTTGAATACCCTGAGTGGAGTGTTTTGGTGCAGGACAGTTTTAGCAAATTGCAGGTACAGAATGTGGTAGAATTGCCTACCCAGCCCATCACAGCTTTCTAAACACAAACCCAAACTCATAAATCTTGAGTGGCTACAAAATAAAGTGCATGCTCTCTGAGGTACAAAATAAGAGGCAAAGTCAGAAATAAACTTATCAAAGGATAAGGTGTCCCACACCACAAATATTTTCTGTTCTATGAGCTATTAATGATTGCTAACACTGAATTCATAGTTTTAATTTTGCAAACCTGCAGGGTGAAAAGACTGACCACAGATGATGGACTAGGACTTCATGCCCTGACTCTGTCTGGTAGTTTGTGAAATTTCTCTAAGTGAAAAGGACAAAATGTAGTAAATTGTATGAAATTGCTACATCATTGAATCAAGCTTTGCTAATATGGAATGGGTGAGGTACGTCCATAGATTAAAGCTGAGTAAGGCAACAGACATCAGTATGAACCAGTAACGCAAATGATTTTCCATTCATGTGCAACTACCTTAGGGAAAGTAAGATGGATGGTGCTTAAAGCAGAGCAGATTTACTTTACACCTGTTCGTAAAAGGCCCCAGAACAAAGTCAAAGCAAATTGCTAGTAAAAGGACAAAACAGAGAAGTGTTAGGAAGAAGCATGCTAAGAAGGAATGGTCCTCAAGCCAAGGAATACTTTGACTTCAGCTCTGAAGAATGAAGGGAGTTTCTCGGAAGAGTTAGAGATAAGTCTATAACTTGGGAAGAGAAGGCGAAACGGGAGCACTAGGATATAGGAGAGGGGATCCGGGGCTGCTACAGCACCATCCAAAACCCAGGAAATGCTCCAGGGCCCAAGATGAAGAAAACTGTGTACAGACATTTGTTCTGTGTTATATCTCTGACGTTAAATCAATTAGCTGCATGTGGTCAGCACACAAATAACCCTTTATAATCTCTGAGGTACACCAGTGGTCCCAAAAAGAGGGCTTAAAGAGGGGGCAACAGTAGGTACAAGCATAAAAGCATGCCTGGGAAGTGTGCCTCAGAGACCAGGGCCACAGTCAGCGTTTGGAGCCTGCCCAGGCCCAGGGGAACAGAGGAGCACATGGATCCAGCGAGTGGGTCCAAACACAGCTGCCTGGTGTGCATCCATAAGGGCCAGCTCCGCCAGGACTGTGACACCCCATAAACACCCTCCTTTGCTGGGATTAATCATGCTTCTGGCACGAGCACTCCCTGCCAGGAGGCTGAACATGAGGTTTGCGTGCTTGCTCCCAAGTGACCTGGCTGCAGTCCCACAATAATCTAAATGTGTACTGTATTTGCACAAATAGCACCGAGCTCCTGATTTCCACACAGCATATTTTCGTGAACTAAATTGCCTCGCAAAATAGTATGTTAGGTGTTTGAAAGAGATGTGAAAACTGGATTAGGTTTTCACTACTAATCCCCTCTCTGAACCAGGCTTGGTCCCTGCCTTGGACAGTGAGAGCATTGCCAGTCCACTTTCATTTCTCCTCAGCTTCATTTTCTGGTTCTCAGAAATCATCTGCAGCATTTGATTGGTAAAATTTCAGGGGGTTGTTTCAAAGTTAAAAAGTTGTGGATTTGGCAGGTAAGCATTACTGTGATATATAGTATGCTCTGCTTTCCATTATCTGTTTGCTCTTGACCACTCTCTGGACATAGGAAATTTTTGGCAAATGTAAAAAAAGAGAGAGAAAGAGACAGGAAATAATCACTGAATAAGAAATAAGGGGGAGGGGAGCATATGCAGCATCTTTTAATTTCCTCCATTCCTTCATTAGCAGGCTGGTGGAAAGCCTTTGCATAGAGTCCCTTCCTGCTACGTAAATCATTTGTATTTCATGGGAGAAGATGAAGTGCTTCACCTTCCTTATTTTATTTTATTTTCCTAGATGAAAAGGTGGTCTCAGTTCCTCTAGGACTAGCTCTAGATCATCTCCATGAGAAAAGGCAAATAATTAACATAGGCTGAAGCAGAAAAATCATTTCAAAAGAAGTCTGCTCCTGAGTCCACACTTGTATTAATTTGTATTTCAGTTCAGTCCCCTGTTTTGGGCACATATGAGAACAAAGCAAAGACATTTAGATTTTTGAACCCATGAGGCTTCATTGTTGTACACAGATAAATAGCATATAAAGAAATAGAAAAATATCCTCAAAAGAGAAACTGAAGTAACTTGAAAGCCAGAGGGACACTTTCTGTGTAAGAAGAAATTAAAAAGCTCAAGTTAAGTAGCAAAGAATTTAAAAAAACAGTGTGATAAACAAAATCAAACTCTGAAATGATGACCAAGCCAGTGTTTCTATTAAACATATTAGAGAAAGCTGCCTGACATGAACACAAAATTGCAAAAGGGAAAAAGGAGAAAGATTTGCATACTCAGTGGGTCAAGATCTGAGGAGATGACTCATCCCCAAATGCTAATCATGCGAAAACCCAGTGCCAAACTATGCTCATTCTCTCCCTGGGGATAGCAAATCTTAATTTGCTAGATCTTTAGTAGTTGGAGAAGCAGTCACCTTCCTTCCACCAGGTATAAAGATCCCTCCTTCCCCTAAACCATCTAGAACACTGATTTGGTCCAGCATGAAAATCATCCCCACTCCTCAACTGGGTCTAACTGAGCTGTGATAGAGTTAAGCGTCTCACCACACTTCTACTGGCAACTTGAAGTGAACATCCTTTGGCCAATTTATTTTTCTTTCCTCAGCCAAAGATTATTTTCCTAGAAAGCTGTCCGACTGTGCTCTCTGCACTGCTCCCTGCAAAACTACACTTCAAAACGACACTTCACTTGAAAATTGTCAAGTGGACAGAATACAGGGAACAGGCCAATGCTTCTGCATGGGGAGTTTCAACACCAGAGACCACTTTATGAGGCTTTAAGAGGCAGCTCTGGGGTGTTCTCTGCACTCACGCAGCACATGCTGGTTGAGAGTTAGGAGTAAAATCATAGCATTATTAAAATCAGTGGGAATTTTGCCAATGAAGCCAGAATTTCATCCAAGATGGGGGTTTTTTTGTTTGTTTTACTCTGTAAACAAATAGTAAAATATAGTCTTTTATTCCCATACTGTATAATAAGCAACACAGTGTAAAATGAGATCTCTCTAATGTTGAATGAAATTTCTTGAAGCCCAAAAAGCAAGCCTCCTTCCCCAAAAGAAGCTTTTTAATGTTCTGCGTCACAATTCCCTCATACCCTCCCTTTCTACAGCTGTTTCTACAGCTGTCTCTCAGTTGTTCTTAGATAATTTATATGGAGAAGGGATGGAGTTGCTTTTTTATTCTTTATTGGAACAACTTTGTTGGAACAGAAGGTCCTGGTCACAGGTATCCTCTTAGGTATTCAAATGATGGTGAAGCTGCATAAACATTACAATGAAGAAAAAGAAAGCAACTACAATATTACAAAGATCTGTCCACAACATTTGTTGAAAAAGAATTGGCTGTTCCCTTCTACATTGATAGCTATGCTTTAATTTGATGAATGGTGTACTTGACCATTTTTAACTATAATTTGAACTTAGAAACACAGTTCTTCTGTTCATTCTTATTACAGTCAAAACTGTACTCCTAATATCAGTCATTTAAATGGAGTAGCTTTCTCTTGACACCCTGCTCAACACACATCTTAAGGGGCAAGCCCTGTTGCAGAACAGGAGGTGAAGCTGAAAGCAACAAGGTACTTCAGGCAGCAACCTCACTACATTATCTGTAAGCAGAAAACATCGAACAAGTTTACTAAAACAAATTAAATGGAGCTCTCTTAAATCCAAACTACTTGTTCTTAATGCAAACTTTCTAAAGGACTTTTAGCACAGCCTGAACATGCAAACTTCGCTGAGCATATGTGTGAATGATGGATCTATGAAGTCATGGTCAAATTACACTGACTAAAACAGAGCAGGGATTCAAAGCAGTGTTCTCAGGGTCTGGAGCCCACCATAGGTGATAATGAAACATCAGGCCTTGGGATTTTATCAAGGCACCATGTCATTTGGGATCTG